AGGGCTAAGTAATAAATGCCCACTTAGCTGACAGTTCCATAAGAAAAAAATGAAATACCACCAATCTAATGGTCTCTAGATATGAACAGCCAATGCAACTTTCCTGAAGATTACAGCATTGAATTCCAATTCAGCTGGTGGGCCCTTGACTTGCAATAGTTTGTTTAATGACCATTCAAAGTTACAACGGCACTGAAAAATGTCGCTTATGACTGTTTTTCACACTTATGACCATTGCAGCATCCCCATGGTCATGTGATCAAAATTCAGACACTTAGCAATTGACTCATATTTATGATTGTTGCAGGGGGTCATGTGATCCCCTTTTGCAACCTTGTGACAAGCAAAATTAAGCAATTCACTTAACAACTGTGACATGAAAGTTTGTAAAATGAGACAAAACTCATTTAACAAATGTCTCACTTAGCAATAGAAATTTTGGGCTCAATTATGATCATAAGTTGAGGACTACCTGCATAGTATAAATGAATAATGACCGCCAATTTCTGGAGTATTGTGTTGTATAAAATATAGCAAAACTCTTTAATTCAGAACTACGGTCTTCATTTACTTCTTGCACTTCCATTCCATCTTTCTTTCTCTGATATTCAGGATCAGATAGGGACCACAAAGCCCCCCTGTGGGGATTTTGCCTTTGTTATATTCCCCCAACCCCTCCAAAACCTATTGCCAAAAAAGTCATCTTTAATGTAATAAAAGGAGGAGAACATTAAAAATATGGGAGGGAGGGGCGATATTAATGGGAGGTTTGTTCTGTTTTAAACCAACTTTGATTTTTGCCGTGGCCAGTTGGCTCTGATTGTGCTGGAAATTATAGGTTCGGTACATCTGAAAGGCACCAAGTTAGTGAAGTTCTCCTGAAAGATTTATTCAAGTCTTTTTATGTGGCTCTTTGATTTTGAACGATGCACTGAAGAGAGCAATATGGTACAATTTATTAAAAATATACATAATAACTGCTTCTATGACTAATACTATGACTATGGCAAATCTCAGAAAGAAGGGCTACTTGTCTTGTGTCCATAATCCTGAAAAACAATTGTGAATACAGGCAGAATTGGTGTTATTGTCAATCAAATCTCACCCAACAAGCAACACTTTGAAAGTGACATGGTAGAGAGGAGTATATACATCTGTCTTCCAATCCTAAAAATAAAGATCTGGCCACCAAATGATCTCTGGCAACTAGCCTATTTTCTTTTATAATCTCAGAGAAGCAAATGTAATTTTTTTTTCCATTTTAGAGGAACATACACGCTCCTTCGAACAGCCTTCGTTCACAGAATTCTCTCACTTCCTAGCCCTGACTATCCCCAGCCCTATTTCAGTAGTCAGCTCTGGATAAGAGTTGCCTATGGCTTCAATGGGTACCATGCTTGCTAAGTGACTAAGGAAATTTAAAAGATTACAAAATAATCAAAGTCAGAATGTCCTGATTTTATGTACAAACAAAAGCAAAGAGAAGGAGAGCGGATAAGGGCAGGAATTTGACCTAATAAAACAAAATCAACAATGGTGAACAAGCCCAGGCTTGGTAGCTAAGGCCACAAACAAAACAGTTCTGATTGGGTCTACATTTCATGGGAGAGAGGATTACTCTTTTTTAGTTGTCTTAAAACATTTTTTAACAGGTCGTCATTCAGCCTTATTATCTAGACGTCTCAAAACAAAACAAAAGAAAAAGAAATGGGGGTAGCTGGGCTAGGCATCCAAAAATTGCACTAAAGGTCACATCATGATCCAACTGGGACTTTGGATATCTTTGACAAAGAAAGACCAAGAAGTGTGTGGCCAGTTCAACGCTTGCTAGGATTTTCCATGGGTTGCAGCTATTACCCCTATTAACAGAAATTACACCTTATTAGCCATGGTGGAAAAGCAATGATCTTCCAGATGTTTCAGAATTGCAACTCCCAGTAATTCCAGATAGCATAGCCAAAGATGAAGAAAGCTGGAAGATTAGTTCAACAATATCTGTAGGGCCAATGATCTCCTCAGTCTTGCCTTTATAATAAATACTTTTAAAAATCACACAGATGGGGGTCTCGGCAGCCTGCTTTCCTAATCGCAGCCTCCTCTTTTCACACATACAGAACAGCAGGAGATGTCATTCAATCTACGTTTCTATTTTGCTGGCACAGAAACACAGCAACAAACCAGCCAGCTCTCTTGCTTTTGATGCCGGCCATAGAGGAATAAATGTCCTTTCTTCTATGTCCAGCACAGACTGCTCCTTTCATTCCCTGCCAACCTATCTGGTAGAAGGCTAAATGTTTATCTGGCAACGAGGGGCAGCATGGCTACAGAGACTATCGACATCTTAATAGTTCAATAAAATTGATATGAAAATAGCTTCTACAGGATTATTGACACACCATACTCAGGGATGTAGCTAAGAATGTGTAATTCAGAGAAATACGTTTGGGGACCAAATACAGGTAGCCCTCGATTTACAACAGTTCATTTAGTGACCATTAGAAGTTGCAACGGCACTGAAAAAAAGTGACTTATGGCCATTTTTCACACCTATTACCGTTGCAGTCTCCCCAGGGTCACGTGATTTGGAGGCTTGATAATTGACTCACATTTATCACGGTTGCAATGTCCCGGAGTCAGGTGAGCCCCTTTTGTGACCTTCTGACAAGCAAAGTCAATGGGGAAACCAGACTCACTTAACAACTATGTTACTAATTTAAGAACTGCAGCGATTCTCTTAACAAATGTAGCAAGAAAAATCGCGGGGTGGGGCAAAACAAATTTCCCACTTACCAACATAAAATTTTGAACTCAATTGTGATTCTAAGTTGAGGACTACCTGTCAGGTGTTCAGGTTGCAGTGCCTTCAATCGCATAGAAGGTTCTGCATCAAGGACAGCCATCCATGAAGACGCCAGTGGTGGCGCCCTGTTATTTCTCCCTCGCGCAAACGAGAACTGTGTTCTCTCAAGTTCACTTCAGGACAGATGTCTACAGGTGAACAATCTGCTCGTGTGACAAGCTCTGAAATGCTCTAACATTCAACTCTGCCAGCAGTGACTACCTAGCAGCCGGCAAAGAAACTGAAATAAGGTTTTTTTGTTTTGAGGTTTGGGGGGTTTTGGTTTTCCTTTTGCACACTTGTTTCTCCTGAATTGCTCAAGGTGCCAGAGCTGCACCATGCTTAATTTCTATGTTGGCTCACTTGAAAGAGAACTTCACTGAACACCTAACAAGTGTGTACAGAGCTAATCGTGCTAATTAATATGCAAAGCAGTCAGCTAACCATCCATTTCTTTCTTCTAAAGACCCTATCTCTTATTTAGATTATACTGATAAACCGTAAGCTAATAATTAATCTCTTCCTTAGGGAACATTTACTTTGATTTACTTATGCTTTTCATGACAGCAGTTTTATTGTTTAAGTAAGAAGCTCTGTCTTTATTGAACTCTCTTGAAATAGTTTTCCAACCATTTATATAACCCTTGCAGGAAGACAGAAGGATGGGCTGAAATAACGTTTTACAAAAAAAAAAAAAAAAAAAGTACCTACGTTCTCCAGTATGTACAACTTTTCTTCTGTTTCTGGCTTGTATTCCCTATTTTCATCTGAATCACTTCGTTTTTCCCTTGAATTTATGCTGTTTTTACATTTTGCTCCCTCTTAATTGCATTTTATAATATTATTTACAGAATAATGAAATTACGACCCAATCAGGGACATGTATATTATGCATATAAAGCATAGTATTATAACCCGTTACAGATATGTAAAGTACATCTAAAGTATAATAAATATAGTATTTTTGATTAACAATGAGAATTAATAGGAATCTTGCTTTTTAAACCCACAAAGCAAGAGGGCAGTTTCCCCTCTTTTTCAGAGGAAATGACAGCAATCTGAAATAATTTCTAAGCTTGTATCTGAAGGCTGAGCTATTATGCATTTATTAGATGTTTTGTTTTATACTGAGCAAAAATCTACATTAGATATGACAGTAATATGCACCATTCATACAATACTGTTCTGTGTACTTTTAAGAGTATGACATCATTTTCTCATTTTAAAAAATGTGATGATTCCAGCCTTTCCCCACCTCTTTTCACTGTACAGACATTACTCTACTTACAAACAGATTACGTTCTGAGAGGCTGTTCACAAGCCTGTTCTATTCACAAGTCCAAACTAGTGTAAAAAAAATCATGTGCAGTAGAGTTCTTACCTAACATAAGTGACAGAATCACGGTAAAACCTGATAGTTATGGTGACGTTGTTGGCTCTTCCATTGGAAGTTGATGCAGCAAGTTTTTCTACTTTCCTGAAGTGAATTTTGGGTAGTGGTCTTCCTCTTTTCCTCATAGATGACACTGTAGCAGCAGATCGCATGATGGGCTGACACTTTGGGGAAGCACTCAACGTTCGGGTCCTGCATCTTGAACAACGACAGCACTTTCTCCATCGAGCTTAAAGGCTCAAGCGTGGTCTGGGATCATGTCAATGGTTCAATCTCTTCTTCCTTTTTTCTTCTTCTTCCTCTCCCTCTCCTTTTTTTTGGGGGGGGGGGCTTACTTTCCATGATGTTGAATTAGTTAAAGTCGGGAGAAGACGGGAAAGGATTGGCTTCCTGCATGTTGCGTGCAGATGTGGCACACTGGAAACTAATTCTTTTCTACCTTCTCTTGACTTCAGAGACCTTCTAAGATGGACTTGCGGACTGGTTTGTTCATATCAGCGAACGTTCACAAAAGTTCATAAGTAGAGTAATATCTATACCTCTTTTGCCTATATTTAGTTACTATTAATTGTGTTTCCTTGATCACTTGCTATCCTACTAATAGCAAGAATGTCTTTTACTCATCATTCTCTTCTTAACACAACTAAAATCATGTCTGTTCTTTTGCTGCAATGTCACAATGGCAGCTTCAAAACACCTTTTTAATACCAAGAATTTTCAGAATTTTGTTTCCTAACTAGCTGGCATTTACCCGATTGTATAGCTTACCTCTACAGTGTGGGCCTTCGTCTGAACCATCAACACAATCACGTTCGCCATTGCAAAGCTTGGTCATGGGAATGCAAAGATCAGTACCCAGGCAGTTGTACTCATTTGGATGGCACCTTGACACCTTGTTATGTGGACCTGGAAAACAGGAAGAGCCATTGCTATTAGGAGGGTCTCCAGCACAATTATTCTAATCTATAGAAAATCCTAGAAAAAGAAATGGAACTTCATATGTATAGATGATATTTAGACACATACTGCACGTTCCTTTGTATCTAGAAAGAAGAATTTCTGAGCTCATCATATAATAGATTGGCTAAGGAAATGAATATGGGAATTGAACAGGCATAATGTTAGTCTTCGCTCCAAGAGACCTTGATTAAATGTACGTTCAACTGGCTTAGTAAATAGCCAGCTTCTTTGATTCTATTCCTGGTAATATTGGTTTAAAGCAGGGGTGTTCAAACTTGGCCCTTTTATGACTTGTGGACTTCAACTCCCAGAATTCCTCAGCTAGCGTGTCTGGCTGAGGAATTCTGGGAGTTGAAGTCCACAAGTCATAAAAGGGCCAAGTTTGAAGACCCCTGCTTTAAAGCATATATTTGAGGACTCTTTTCAGTCGTAAAATTAATTTTGAATTCACCTGGGAAATTTTCAAGTAGTTTGGACTGCAAATGGTTTAGACTGAAACCATGCTGACTTATGGTAGCTGCAGTCCAAAATATATGGAGGGCACAAAGCTACCTATTGCTGACCCAGATCCTTTTTCCACAAGGCTATGAAACCTCAGACTGTGTTTCCAAGGGAAACATACTAAGCGAATTAGTTTGAGTAATTCTATATTAAAGATTAATTAAGCCAAATTCTTTTATGGCTCAGGTTAGGATCCTTGGTGGGTACTGATCCATCAGTCAAAGTAATCTGCCATTTAGAATAGTCCTTCCATCAGCCACTTAATCATTACTGGCATGAAGAATCTTAACAAACTACTTTAGTTATTTTAAAAGCTAATAAATGAGCTAATTAATTTCATGTGACAGGTTTGTGGTACACCCCAAAGGGTTGCATTAGTCAGGAATTGTTAACATTATAAAAACCACTTTAAAAGTTGCTGTTCTTTTGCCCATAAATATATAGCCTCTCTAATTGAGTTGGCTACAATCCAGAAATAAATACAATTGAAAAAGGAAGAATTGAGAAGAAGGTCTAAACTGAGAGTGTACAGAGCTAAGCAGGGATGACATTTTAAGGATTAAAAAAAAAAAACATTAGAGAGTCCATAAAAAAAACTTGATATTGGACATGATTGGATGACTACCTATGTCTAAATTCAGAATCTTTACAAACCTCCTAACACAGGGCACTCTGTACCAATGCTTATAATTCTAATACCCACCAGCATCAATAAAGGCCTCATTAACTGAGATTTAAAACAGAAGTTGCTTAGCATCTTCTTTTTCTTTTTAACAGAGTAAATAATTCTTCTTGTGCTTTAGCTTTGCAACCTTTGCAGCCAAATACCCTACCTGCTCCTCTCACTCGGTTACGTTTATACAAGCAGGAACATTTCAATTGAGTTTTTAAAAAATGTTACAAATAAGTATTGAACCTGTATCTTTATCGTGTAGCTTTTAAATTTTGCAAAATTGTCAGAAATTAAAGCCTAGTGTAAATCACCATAAGGTTGTTACAGGTAACATCTTTATTCTCCAGACAATTTTGTTTGATAATATACCCCCCCCCCTCTGCTTGCAAAAAGAGAAACTCCATTACTGCCCCCCAAAATCTCTCTTTTTTTTTAAAGTCTTTACTAAATAGAAAAACGTCCATAGCTAAGTATCTCAGCATAAAGAGTTTAACCTCACCCAACCCTGTACGATAATGCTAAGCCATCATCCTTAATGGAAGAGCTGCTCTACAATGGGCAAGAGACAGCCAAGCTGGTCCCTTCCAATAGTCAAGGATAATTGTAATCCAAAACATCTGGAGGACACCAGGTTGCCTGTTACACGTCTACGCTATGCCTAACTGCTTCAACTACCATCTTTCCAGATATGTTCAAATTGTGTCAGTCCCTTCCATCAAGGACTTTTGCTTGGCCCAGAGCAATCAAACATATAATACAGGCATGTCAAACTCACAACGTCACATGATGTTACACGACTTATCGTGATTTTTTCCCCATTGCCGGCAATGAGGTGGGCGTGGTTTTTGGCGTGATGCATCTGGCTCGTGGGCCAGCATTTTGACATGCCTGATATAATGCAATTTTGAGTCCCCTATTTACTCATAATCTTGAAACATTTCAGAATCCTGTAATAGGATGTTGTAAGAGACAATATTCCAAAGGAAAGGAACTGAGGAGAGATAAAAGCATGCAAACCCAGGCACTTATTGTTAAAAAGCATCTTCTGATCCCCTGCTGAAATGACAAGGAGAGGGGCAGCAAAAAAAGCTGGTCTATCAGAAGATCTGTTCAAACAATCCTGCTTTCCTTCTCATCCTCAGCTGCAGCCTCTCCAAATGATTGCCTTTAGATGACAGTAAAGCTACTTGATCTCTGGCTGATCAATGGTTGATGCCTGCGTTAATAAATATTTATGCTTTGGCTAGGAAGCTCAGAGGAAAGCCTCTGTAGGTATTGACCCCAAATTTGTCAGCAGTCCAAAACCTTAATTAATAATTAGTGTCTGCATTTAAATTAATAGGTGTTTTCTAAAATCTGTGGGAACAATCAAGAAGAGGCTAAATTAGCAATAATGAGTTCATCCCAACCAGGGACTCCATTGTTTGGAATATGCTTGAGATTTTCTAGTGTTTGCATGCAAATGTTTGTCGGCTTGACTTCATCTAACCAACTTGGATATTAACAATGACCCCTCCAGCTTTCCTCTCCAGTTTCCTTTATCTCCAAATCCTGTCTGGGGTAACTCTTGCCTGTCACTGCTAACAGAGGACTGAGAGGTTCTCCATCTTCTGTCGCTGTTTAACCAGTCCTTTCTCACGCCACTATGGCACCGTGTTGACGCCCCCTTATCTTTTTAGGGTTAGAAGGCTTTTCTCTTGAAATCCCCCCCCCCCAATGAATTTCTAGTGCTGGGGATAACAGCTCACTTTCTAATATCAATATCAGCAATATCAATGATGTTGGCACATGAGATAAGGTTCATAAATCAGGGTCCCTCTTTTTTCATACTTCACAACAATAGTTCTGTGCTGACCGAAATAAAATGCATTCGCTTATTGTTTTTTTTTTAATATTGGGTTTTTACTTAGTTTATTAACGTCATCTCTTCCTCACCCCAGAAATCTAAGTTGTTTTAGAATGGAATCCAACACATTTAGACATCATCAAATTGAGAAAAACATATCTGTGTGCTATAATAAGCACAGAATCATGCTAAGTAAAATATACAATCCACATTTTTTTTCAAGAAAACTAAATTGCAGTTAGCAAGTCAGCCAAACTGCCTTAATATATTATTTTGTTCATAGAACAAGTTTTGGTGAAGGGCAAGGAAAATGGAATATAATAATTTGAGTTAAGAACTTCAACAAGGCATCAATTCCCCCTTAATAGACAGCATATTCTGCGGTTATTTCAACTGTCCATAGAATTGAAACATTTTTTTTCCGTTTTTAAAATTTTTATATTTGACAAAGTGTAATTATTATTGCAGCCACCTCTTGGTAAGCGCTCCAGTGAGCATTCTATTGACACAGAATTGTATAGCATTTGCTACTAAAACTCATAAATTGCATTTGTTAATTTTGCAACCAGAAAATAGTAAAAAAAAATATTATTATAGCTCCTTTGATCTTCGACAAGTTCTTCCATTAGACATCAAATAACAATATGGAAAAACTGACAATATTTGAATATTTGAATTAATGCAATTCTCAAATTTAGAGGCAAACTGAGATCAGCTGGGATTTGTCATTGTCTTACTACAATCACAGTGTCTCATTCCAGAGGCACATCTATACAAAAGACACTTAACATCTGGCCTCTGTCAAATATTTTGCAATGACTGTCTATTTCAAAATATTGCCCTGGAGAATATTGGCAGACATCCCAGAGGCCAAATCTGCTTTCTTGTTATAATCTGGAATTAATTGCAATGGACCAAAACCTGACAATCCCAAATGCCATCATGACTCAGGCATTGATATTTTTCTCTGCTATGGGTCTGCATCATCTCCTTTTAAGGCTAAGTTGGGGGTCACCCATTCCCACCTTGCTGGAACAAATTCCAGTCCTTTGCCATCTACTGTGGAAAATAGCGCTCCATTTTATCTACTCTGAATCTCGCTCCATTCGATTTACTGGATAACCTTAGGCCGAGGATAAAATTATAAAGTGGAAATAACCCTTCATCCTACAAAATTTCTCTATAACATGCATCATTTTATCCATACTTTGTATCTACCTTTTTCCTTTTTTCTAACGCTAAAAAGCCTGACATGCAATTCTTCATGGGAAGTTACTTCAGCCCCTAAAATCATTTTAGTTCCTTTTTTACTATGTCTGTTCCAGCTCTTCAGTATTCTTTTCCAAGTAACAGTCAGTACTATTTATAATGTGACTGTAACACATATTTCTATAAAGGCGGCTTTGCTTTTAATTTATTTCCTAATTATTCATTAAAAATTCATGGATTTTTCTTCAGTAATACTTTTCTCTTATATCCCTGATAATTTTTAATAGTGGTTTCTATTAGTTATAGAAACTTATTGGCCATAAATATTAAACTATCCAGACTATCATTTCCTGAACAGTCCCTAGAACTTTCTGAAAAATGATCTAGTGATGTGACTATTTGTAATTTTATAAAAAGATTGGAATTTTGTTTCTTGAAACTACTTTTTATGCCCAAGACAATTTTTGAAAATGTCAGTTATATTTGTGCCACATTTTCTGTGACAGATATAAAGAACTCATTCAGCATCTCTTCAATCACTTAGGATATTTTTAACAGTCCTCCACAGTCAACTCTTGTGAAATAATTTCTTGCTTCATACACACACACACACACACACACACATTTTGTATTGTCTCTTTTTTTCCTATTCTATTTATTCAGCTTGTAAAAATAACTATAATGGCTACAAATACATCTCAGTAACAATATCAAAGAATCTGCTAAAACATATTAGAATAGAATAGAACTGGAAGGGACCTTCTAGTCCAGCCCCCTGCTCAAGCAGGAGAACCTATACCAGTGATGGCGAACCTTTTAGAGACCAAGTGCCCAAACTGCAACCCAAAACCCACTTATGTATCGCCAGGTGCCATGGCCCATTGGGTGGGCATGGCTGCAGTGGTAACGGCAGACTGGGTAGGACTAAAACGTTCAATCAATTCCAACTTTTGCAAGATCTTTTTTTCCCCGCGAGAAGTTGAAATTGACTGACTGAACCTTTTTTTTTTTTTTTTTGCACATGGCGGCGGAGGCCTAAAGTGAAAAGGTTTTATAAAATCCAGCTGAAGGTATAGGACTGGGCGACGGTGCGCGTGCCCACAGAGAAGGCTCTGCGTGCCACTTGTGGCACGTGTGCCATAGGTTCGCCACCATGGACCTATACCATTTCAGACAAGTGACTGTTTAGTCTCTTCTTAAAAACATCCAGTGATGGAGCACCCACGATTTCTGAATGCAAGCTGTTCTACTGGTTAATTGTCCTCACTGTCGGGAACTTTTTCCTTAATTCCAGGTTGCTTCTTTCTTTGATCAGTTTCCAACCATTGTTTCTTGTCCTGCCCTCTGGTGCTTTGGAGAATAGTTTGATGCCCTCTTCTTTGTGGCAGCCCCCTCAAATACTGGAGTAATGCTATCATGTCGCCCGTTTCTTCTTTTCTTTAGACTAGCCAAGTCCTTCAGACATTCTTCACATGTTTTAGTCTCCAGGCCTTTGATCATTTTAGTTGCTAAACATCTTTTTTGTAGTATGGTGACCAAAATGGTTTGCAGTATTCCAGGTGTGGTCTTACTAGGGTTTTATAAAGCGATACTAATACTTCACGTGATCTTGATTCTATGTCTCTGTTTTTACAACCCAGGATTGTATTAGCTTTTTTGGCGGCGGCTGCACATTGCTGGCTCATAGTCAAGTGATCGTCCACTAGGACTCCAAGGTCCCTCTCACAATTACTGTTTTTGAGCCAGGTCTCGCCTAATCTGTACTTATACCTTTGGTTTTTCCTGCCTAAAAGTAAAAATTTGCTTTTCTCTAAATTAAAACTCATGTTTTTGGATAGGGCCCATTGTTCATATTTGTCAAGATCTTTTTGGATCCTGAGCTTGTTTTCTGGGATGTTGGCTTTTCCTGCCAGTTTAATGTCATCTGCAAATTTGATGAGTTCCCCTTCTATTCCCTCATCTATTAAATTATATTAAATTAAACAAATCGAAAGCATCCACTAAAACATATTAAACCTAAATATCAAATAAAAGAAGCCTTCCAAGAAAGCTTGAAATGTCCCTTTTCCCCTGATTTGTATGAATGCAAATACAGAGAAAGATCTTTTTTAAAAAATAAAGAAGATTTTATAAGGGAAAAAGCTTTTCCTCTTGTATCCAGAAATTCCATCTGGGACATACCATCAACTATTCTAACTTGAATTTTTATTGTGGAAAACCATTGCTATTTTTTTTTCTTCCTCTCCCTGGAAGATCTCTCTATGACTTTATCCCACTCCTAAGTCCCAGCCCAACCTATCTCACAAGTTTGTTGTGGGCAAATATTGAGGAGTCATATGTCCACTATCTTAAGATCACAGAGGAAAAGTGAGACATAAATCTTAATGAATTAACTAACAGTCCCAAAGCTCACACAAAGCAGGGGAACCAGTAGATTTAAATTCTTGGTTTAATTATGAGGGTTAAAACCTAGGTAGCAAGGAACTATTTGAGTCAGCATCTCTTCCTTTTATTTTCAACTATTCCTGAATTTCCCACTATCTATGGAATGCCTGCTGGCTATTCTAAATAGCTCTCATTGGCAATTCTCACAAATCAAAGCAATATTAAGGCTCTTCCTCTGCCAAGGGGACCCTTTCTAACATTTATAAAGAAGTCCAAACTTCCTTTTAACATGTCCTAATAATGCTTCTGGAGCAGCAGGAAAGGCATTTTGACCATCCATACACCCATACTTATTTTGGGAAAGGAATATAGCTCAGTGACTGAGCACATACTTTACAGGCAGAAAGCCCAAGGTTCAGACTCCAGCAACTTCACTTAAGAGAATTAATACTCCATATGATATAAAATTCTCTGCGGGAGAAAATTTTCTACTCAGCAGATTAGTAATCAGACAATTTTTAAAGACTCTTCAATTAGGAACACTATCATCCTAAGAAGTCAGTGGTTTCTACAGGAGGAAGCCAAAAAGGGGGAAGAAGAAGGGGAAGGGAAACTCATCAGAAAAGTGGAAGTGGGGAAAGGGTTTCTCAGCCAATTTTGCATAAAACCCAATGAGGAACAATTGCCCAGAAATAAAACATGCACAGAAACGTGAGTAATAAATGATATTTTCCAAGCTGGAGAAGTGGGAGAATTCTTACAAAACCTCTGTGTGTACTGTTTTGTTTCTCAATGTCCCCAAAGCAGTGAGAAGTGTGCCATGCATTTTGCACCCTCAGGAAAAAAAAGTGAATGGAAAGAAACCCAGGTCGCCGAATCAAAATAGTTGTAAAAATAAGTACTAGGGAAAAGAAGAGGAAGTAAAGATACCTACATATATCTGGTGACTCGTCAGAGCCATCTGGACAGTCCTTCTCTCCATCACATCTCCAGCCCTTGGATATACATGTGATCTGATCTTTACAGGCAAATTGTTTGGGGCTACATGTCTTCGGTGCTGGAGAAAGAAAGGCAAGAAAAAAAGAAAGCATAAAAAGTTAAGATTCTTCTGTAAAATATGGAGGTTCCTTCCAGCCTTATGATTCTATGTTCTGTGTCCCTGACAATAATTTCAAAAGGCTGGCTATTTAAAAAGCAACCAATTTTTGACAGTGCCATTGGGCTCATGCATATTTATGATACTTCAGGAACGAGGATTCTTAAAAATGAAAGGTATTCATCAGAGCAAAGCAGGAGCAAAAATATAGAACAGATTTTAAACATCATTTAATTTGAATAAACCTCTCGGGAATTTACAGTTCAGACATGAAAGGCTTAAACAAAAGACACAAACCAGGAACTGTAATTTTAAATTGTAAATAGTGTTTGCACTGGAAAAACTGTAAGAATCTCAAATCTGACTTTTACATAAACTACCATGGCCATTCCTTCAGTTCTACCTTTTGCTTAAATTTATATAGCCAGCATCTCAACAACTTACAGGGGAGGGGATCCTACAGTAGTAAAATTACACCTAAATAAAGAGTTAAGAAACGGAACATCCAAACAGAACATGAACCATGTCTATTCATTGAGAAGTTGTAAACACTGGTATCCACTTGGTCAACTTGCAAACTTTCTGCCTTATTGTATGCACCATTCTTCTAGCATGGCCTTCCCCAATCTGTCAACACACATATGTGCTAAATTCTCTGGAACTGTACTCTCAACATATACAGAAGACAACAGGTTGGGGAAGACAGAGGAGTTAATATCTCTAGGATCACAACTGTATTCCAGTTGGAATCCTTCATTCCAGAAGAAACTGTGGGCTAATCCCAGTTTCTGTGAAGTAAGAGGGGATGAAGCCAGGAGGCACTGCTTTTGGTTATACCTCCCATCTAACTAAATGGCCTTTCTCAAAAGTCAGACTCATTCTGGAAAATGGTAACAATTGAGCTCCTCCCAAAAAGCATATATATCAGCTCTTCGAAGTAAACCAGGGGTCTTCATACTTGGCCATTTTATGACTTGTGGACTTCAACTCCCAGAATTCCTCAACCAACGTGCCTGGCTAAGGAATTCTCCGAGTTGAAGTCCACAAGTCATAAAAGGGCCAAGTTTGAAGACCCCTGAAGTAGACTATGTCAGGAAGCAGGCCTCACAAGAGCTCTTTACCTTATTAATATGTCTACAACAAAATCATTCTGAAAACCTGATAACACGTCTTGGAACCAGCTCCCCCCGGAGATTAGGACCGCTCCCACCCTGTTGGTTTTCCGTAAGCTGCTTAAGACCTGGCTTTTCCGGCAGGCCTAGGGTTTATAAAATCTGACCCCTCGATGACTGTTATTGTACTGTTTGTTTTGTCATGTTTTATGGTATTTTTATTGTTAGCCACCCAGAGTCCTGCAGGAGTGGGACAGTTTATAAATTTTAAAAATAAAATAAATAAAAATAAACATTGCCCCTTCCCTCCCTCTTGTACTGATCAAGATGGGCAACTTTGAGTTTTTCCCTTAGGCTTTCCTATTTTCTCGGGCTAAGCTCAAGTTTTACTAGCAGTCTTTTATCCAACGTCATCGGTGTGTGCTCCTCTCCACTTGGTAGTTAATTACTTCACTACTGGGTTATTACCAATGGATTATTGCTCCTCATTGGGTTGGCTGATGGTAACTCTGCCACTTCCATTGCTATTACTGATTAAGATAGTAATTTATTTCTAAAGCATTTTGCTCTATCACCATGGTTATATGTTGATCTACTACAACGAATATTTTCATTGTTTGGTCTTGCTATATATCATTTTGACAGATTGAGCATTATAATAATTAAACAAATCAATGACTCATTCATTCCATACTTGCTGTCAGAAGTACTACAAGGATTGAGATTGATGAATTAAGAGGCCCAGGCAACACAGCAGTTAGAAAAGATGGTACCTTTCAAAACTGCTGTATAGTTGGTTTTCTAAAGACATGCATGCCTTTCTAGCAGTCTCTTTTTCTCATTCTTTAAGCTGCTACACAGATAGTCCTCGATTTACAATCAAAATTAGCCCAGAATTTATGTTGCTAAGTGAGACATTTGTTGTGAGTTTTGCCCTATTTTACGACTTTTGTTGTCATATTTGTTAAGTGAATCACTGCAGTTGTTAACTTAGTAACCTGGTTGTTAAGTGAATCTGGCTTCCTCATTGACTTTGCTTGTCAGAAGGTCACAAAAGGTGATCACATGATCCCAGGACATGGCAAACGTCATAAATATGAACCAGTTGCCAAACATCTAAAGGTAAAATCATGTGAGCATGATTGTTGTAAGCATGAAAAATGGTCATAAGCCACTTTTTTCAGTGCTGTTGTAACTTCGAACGATCACTAAATGAACTGTCATAAGTCCAGGACTATTTGTATTTCATAACAATTCCCATCTCAAGAAAACACCAGCAGGAATAGACCCCAGCTTGGAGGGCCAGCAACAGATCTAAAATTACATAGCTTCTTTCAAATAGATGTTTAGCTGCTGAGCTTCCTGACCGGAAGTCCCATGTTTGTGCACACACTGGCTTCTTTGATTACATACGATAAGGCAACAAGCCCAAGGCCAACTGAAAAAGGAAATGTGTGATAAGGGACAAGGAAACCAAATAGAAAGAATGTGAAGTTGGAGTGATAAATGGGGGGAAAAGAGAGAGAGAGAGATGTGTGTGTCAGCTAATACAGAGGTCCCCAACCCCTGGAACTGGTCCATGGTCCACCAGGAACTGACCAGGCAATTGAGTAAAGCCCCATCTGTACATGCACCGGATCCAGGTAGCATATGAAGCCACTTCCATCCCAATCTGCGGAAAAACTGCCCTTCACAGAACCAGTCCCTGGCACCCAAAAGGTTGGGGCTGCTGAGCCAATAGACAGCATGTGTACATGGACAGATGCACCGCCTACAAATGTGATAAAGACTATCAAGGAATAGTGATTACTTCAATTAAAAATAATTCCTTCTTTCCCTCTGGAGTATTCCTAAGAGACAAAACAAAGGGAAAAGTTGCATGACGCGATGATGCTCTTACAACAGCAAGGAAAGCAATGTGGGATAAACTGGCCTTGTTCCCTGCCAGCCAGCGTAAGGTTCCTAAGAGATAACCTCTGATGCGAATCAGCCCTGAATGGGGGGAAAGAGTGCTTGCCTGCTTTTGCTGCAAGCAAGCTTCTGATGCAATTATTTCTGCATGGAACAGTTGCTCCCTGCAAACAAAGCATACGTTTGGCTAAAGGATGTCTTTCAGAAAGCTGTCCAATCCCCTCAAACTGTCTGCCCTTTGAAAGAGAAAAATTCTTTCCCAAATGAAAAGGTAAAACAGCACCCGAGCATTAAGAATGTGTTTTCACATAATTCTGCTTCATTCAATGCTAAATACCAATAAATAATGTTAAGAGAACGTTCTCAAAGAAAGCTCTCAGCCATCCTGATAAAGACAGTGATTGGAAGGAAGTTGAAGGCCCCTGACTCTTTATCCCAGAGAAATGTTTGAGACCCAGGGATGATGTTTAGCCAGAGAATGAGGAGTTAGATTCTTACACACATAGCTACTTCTGTGCTTCCTCCTAGTCCAGGCAGAGCAGGAAAGAAAGTTTTCCAGGCACCTAGTTTGTCCAGGCAAAGTGGGAAAAACAATGTGTTTCTGGACCTAGGGCTCAGCTCTAACTATACTGAAACCATGGGAACTGAAGGACCTAATTAATAACTTACATTGATTTCCTTATAATATAACGAAGCCTGCAATATTGTGATTTATGGATCCAAATTTATCCCACATTTTAATATGTCCATACACCTATTTAATTCTTATGGTCTCTGGGTATTACAGGTAGTCCTTGACTTACCACAGTTCATTTAGTGACCAAAGTTACAATGGCGCTGAAAAAAGTGACTTATGATCTCACGGCCATTGCAGCATCCCCATGGCCGTGTGATCAAAATTCAGAAGCTTGGCAACTGACTTATATTGATGACAATTGTAGCACCCAGGGGTGATGTGATCCTCTTTTGCGACGTTCTGACAAGCAAAGTCAATGGGAAAGCCAGATTCACTTCACAACCATGTTACTAACTTAACAACGTGCAGTGACTCTTTTAATAACTGTGGCAAGAAAGCTTGCAAAATGGGGCAAAACCTGTTTAACAAATATCTCATTTAGCATCACAAATTTTGGGGTCAATTATACTCGTAAGTCGAGAACTACCTGTACTTCAATCCTATTTGGAGCAGATGTATGAGCAATGAGATTAGGCGTGCATCTGATGCCTCTCTATCATATTAACAATTATTACAGAGTGTGGTTATATCAGGAAGAGAAAAAAAAAATCCTCCTTAAGTACTTTTACCATTCATACTTTTACCATTCACATTTAAGGAGAAATAACTTGCTCTTCAGTTTTTGGGGTAAACCAACCAAAACCAAAGTTTATTGTTAATTATAATTACTTTTTTTTCTGGTACTATTACATTAAAAAAAACAACAAATGTATTTCTTGGGGATTTCAATTTTAGTTCAATTATATTATTCAGGGCAGATTCCTGAATTTGTGATAATCAAAGTAATGAGAAAGTTCAATTTTACTGGAAGCTTTACTGGAGTCGTGGTTGGAGAATCCTGCTATTACTGGATTTGTTGTGGATCCTCAGATATCTTTGCTGAAATATTCAGTTTTAAAAAGCACATTGCTGCATCATCAGAACTAGTTATTGCCTACTTTCAACACACTCCTGCTTGGAGGGGATCTTAAGGCATCCAGGGTTAATGTACTTTTCCTTACTCACAGATATAATAGTACTTCTGTCACTATGTATTACTTCAAGGAGTCAGCTCCTCTTCCTCGTATACTTGCTACTTGCAAGCAGATAAATACCTATAAACATATAGTATCAATGTAAAAATGTAACAAAGTTTCGAGTTTGAAATGATTTCAATCTTGGGGACCATGTTTCAAGCCTGCATTAGTACCAGCTCCAAACGT